ATTCAGGATGTAGCTCTGAGTTGTTATCTACGTTGTTTTACTTTCTATTGTATTTTTGAGAATGTTTTGTCAGTGTATTTTGTCTTTAAATAAAATATATATTAATATAGGGGGTAGTAGGAGAAAATTCTCAAACAGCTTCAGGGAGAACCTTGAGCTTTCCCTTTAGCAAGTTTATTCTTTTTTTCTGAGGATGAGGGTCCCCAGAACAGTTCTAGAGGTGGTACCTCCCTATATTATATATATATATATATATTATATATATATATATATATATATATATATATATATATATATATATATATATATATATATATATATATATATATATATATATATATATATATGCAATAAGATCACAGTAAACAGGTGATTTCAAAATATGCAAAACAACCACTCTGAAAGAATAGAGAAATTCCAAGCGGTTTCGTGACTACTCACATTATCAAGGAACTCCATTGTTTCCTTGATAATGTGAGTAGTCACGAAAGCGCTTGGAATTTCTCTATTCTTTCAGAGTGGTTGTTTTGCATATATATATATATATATATATATATATATATATATATATATATATATATATATATATATATATATATATATATATATTATATAGCGAGAGAGAGAGAGAGAGAGAGAGAGAGAGGTACCACCTCTGAAGGTGTGCTGAGGACCTTTATCCTCAGAGATAAGAATAAACTTACTTCAGGGAAAGTTCAAAGTTCTCGCTGGAGCTATTTGAATATTGTCTTCTCCTACCACCCCCTATATTCTATATTCTATGTACACTTTTTTTTAAAGACAAAATACATTGACAAAAAAACAATAGGAAATAGAACAACATAGATAACATCTCAGAGCCTACATCTCGAATACTTCTTCCAGCTCTGCGGCAGTGGGCCTCATGCCCAGAATGCTGGAGGCATTTCCCCTCTGAATCGCAACACTGAGTCTCTGACAGAGGAAGCTGGAAGCTCTGTGATCCTTGGTTTCTCTTATGAGTTTTTCATCCAGCTCTTTGAGGAACTTCAAAGCACTCTTGCCCATTGCTCCAAGGATTATATCAAGTGGGAAGGCCTTCATATTTGTAGGTCTTATAGGTCTCCCTGGAGCTGGAGGCTCCACCCCTTCAGCTTTATAGTATGGCAAGGTGTCTGCCAATGTGGCAGCACAGGTGTAGTTCCAGGCAATCTGCTTGCCATCCTTCCAGGGTAGCATAGTGGCTCCATCAGGACGCTTTTGATTACCATCAGATCTCTGTACTTCGGGTGTACGTTCAGTTGGGCAATGGGCTGTGGCGAGGCTTCTCTTTATGATGTTGTTGACCTCCTCAGGTCTAGCATACTTCCCTTGTGATGTGTGACACACAAGACCTTGAAGTTTGAATTGATCAGCCGTCATCCTGCCGGAAATACATGGGGGTGGCTAGGCGAAGAGTAACACCAATCCGAATGGCCTGTTGGTCTAGTGGAGTTCCCAGGGAGTAATTGGGAACAGCTAAAAGGAAATCTCCTGAATGCAGTGACTTCACTACTAGGAGATAAGCTTTGCCCTTTCCTGGAGCATTGGTGAGCATTGTGTTGGTAATTTTTTCCATGATAGGTTTATCCGAGTGAGATTGTGCTCTCTGGGAGGACCTGGTCTACTGGAGGAGTCTACAAGGGTATCCCACCACATGGCTGCTTCAGTGAACCTGGGGTCTTGAGCTCCTACCGCACCTCTCAAGCATTCTGGGACAATCTCCTTGACTAGTCCACTGGAAGCAATGCACGAGGACAGAAATGTAGATAAAGCCACCTGCATTGCCTTGCACACCCCTATACCTCACAGTCGCACTGGGGGAGTTGCCTGATCCCATTGCTGATCTTCCAGTGACAAATTCAGTGCCTTCTTAAAGGTTGATCTCAGGAGTGAGTCATTCATTGAGTGTTGGGTTGTCAAGAGAGGGTGCGCACCTCAGGAAGTGAGTCTTGGCAGAGTAAGACACCTTAAGAAGAGATGCAGGGCATTATGGGCATCAATATCCCTTATTCTCTACTTCATTCTCTTCAGGTCATTCAGTTTGTCCTTGAGGACTGTGTCGATGGCCTGTTGACCCAGTGCTGCTCCCAAGAGGGGTGCTGTTGGATGGAATGGCGGTAGAGATTTCAGGGAGGATTGTTTGCACAGCTCTGATTATTTCCTGGTTTGTTGTCATGATTTCAAACTTGGAGGGATTGAGGATGAGTGCCAATGTTTGTCCCTGTGTCTTCACCAGTTGTAGGTCCTCTAGCAGAGACTCTTCAGTACCTGCCAGAGTACCATCATCCAGGTACCAGGTGTTGAGCTCGCTGCACAAGCTGGAAGTTAGTTCTCTCACCGCCAAGCAGAAGAGAAGTTGAGTGAGAGGGTCACCCTGTTGAACACCCTCTGATGAGGGAATTTCATGTTTGACAAACAAAACAATTGAAGATTTGCTGTAGGCAGCTGAAATGAAGGGAAGAAGACTTGGGATCCGATCCTGAACAGCTGGCAAAACCACATCTCATCACGATATTGAAAGCATTTCTAAAGTCAAGTTTGACTAATGCCTTGTCTTCTGGAAAGTCGCTGATGTAAGCCCTTGCTGCATGAACTGCCACTTCACTGCTTTGAGAGACCCCGTAGCCCAGTTGGTGTAGCTGGAGTAAATGGGTGGCTTCTAGTCGAATGTTTCTTACATCTGCTTTAACAACGAGATGGAGAAAAGTGTTACAATCAGCAATGGGTCTGATTCCCCAATTCTTCTTCTTCAAAGCACATAATGGAGCTCCAAAAATGAAAGGTTTAATTTCTTCTGGAATCCTCAAGCCAGACAGTTGTTGATGAAGTCTGTTAACTCGAAGAGGAGAATTGATTCAGCTGTGCCGAGTACTGGATTTACCATCTCTTGGAGGTGTGGTCGAATTCCAGTGTAATCCCTGCCGATCCTGCTAGAAATGACACTATCGCTTTATAGACTTCTGATTCTGGCCAAATTAATTGTCCAGTGATGAGGTCTTCCTCAGGATGGTAGGTAACGACTCGGGTGTCCCTTGTTGGGTGATTGTCTCTTAGTGCTTGGACAGTGGCCTCATTTTTGGGAGCAACAATGTTGTCACTTGCAATTATTCTGATTGCTCTCACTGTGTTACCTTCGATATTTTTTTGCTAATCTGTGCCCAAATTTTCTCGTTTTCAGTGGATTTTTTCTTAGGTCTGCCTCTGTGATTCCAGCCATGATGGGGCAGAGGACACAATTATCTGCTCTTGGGTAGTTGCGCACTGCCTTGATAACTAATTTGGTTAGCAGTTTGCCGCGTCTTTCAGGAACTGTTAGACAGACATTGCCGAACAGGAGTAGGTTGCGTCATGCCTTGATGGTGATTCGGTCTTCTAAGTAGGTGGAGCCTCCATTCACCTGCTTAAGAAGGTCTGTAAATTTCCCTGCCGCATATGGACGAGCCGCTTTAGGAATGTGAGATAGAGTGCTGCTAGCAGTGGATATGAATGCCATCAGATCTTCGCCACTGAGGATGTTACCATTGGAACTTTCATCTGCCTGTGGGGGCTGTGGACAGCTCTATGCAGGGATCATATGTGATTCGGCTCACCCATTGAGTGCATGTATAAGGTCAGCCCTGCTGACTGTCCGAAACACTCCACTTGGCATGTCCCTTTTCTTTCATTGTTAGGTGCACTGTTTCCCTGGCTTTGTGGCTAGCTAGCTGCATCGTATGCCATATCTCAGTCTGTGTGGTAAGCTTGGGCTGAAAGGAAAATGACAAGTGTGGGTGGAGGCACATACCCTGGGTTGTTCATGGTAGGGGTGGAGAGGGGTGGAGGAGAGCGTAGGCCTAGATCTGGTTGGCAGTCTCAAGTCCTCGTGAAAGGCGGGGGAGGGAGGAGGTGGAGATGGTGTGAGGATTGATGAGGGTGAAGGAGAAGTGGAGGAGGAGTGATGACCTGGGGAGGCAGACCTGGCAGCGTTGCCCACTCACTGCACTAAACGATACGTCATTATACATGGCCCTCCACTATACACAGCCCTCTACTATAAACAACACACTGCTTTACACTCTACACTATCTACACTGTACTCAGAATTTTTTTTTTTCTTCTTTTTTTTTTCTTTTTTTTTTGGCTGGAGAGAGAGTCATCTGATCGACGACAAATTCTCACCTCAGCTTTGGTTTCCCGAACTCAAGGTTCACGGTGATTTTTAAGTTGTATAACCCCAAATTTGTCTTCTTTTTTCAAGTAAAAAGTGATATTATTTTATATGTAATAACTGAAGAATGATTCTTCCGACTGTTTCAAATTACTAATGAAGAATATTGCTATAATAATTTTGTTTGACTAGGTGCAATTTTGCAATTTTTCTGGAACTGCTAAATATCTGGAGTGACTGCAATCAAATCCATTTATGTCATACGAGCAGATCATTATGACTCAGGATGACGCTGCTGGTCTGTTTACACTGGTCTCTCAGTATTACACCTCACACACTACTACGTTTGTCAGTAGGGACAATTGAAATTGGGAAATTATATACAGAAGACTGTGTGACCCTACGGTAATGAGGACTCAGCCCTATAAATGTAACACTCCTTCATACCTATCCTGTTCTTCCTCATACTACAACTCCCTTATAAGACCCTATCTTCTCTTCCTGAAGCAATAAATTCCTTACACCCTGCCTTTTTTCCCTTCGACTACGAATCTCTATCGCCTTGTTTTGCTTCACACAATTCTCCTTGCACCTTGTTATCTCATTTTTGCAACTCCACCAAACCTTACTTTACACAAATAACCCGCACATAGAAGAGAGGAGCTTACGACGACGTTTCGGTCCTCTCTTGTATGTGCAGGTTATTTGTGCAACGTTCCAGTCACGGTATTGTGCCTTTTTTGTTATTTACTTACTTTAGAATATGCTACGTATACAACAGTTCCCCCTGACACTGCGGCTCACTCACTCCCTTGTCTTCTCTTCCTCACAGGAGAACCATCTTCGGGCCAACTCTAGCAGCGGGTTGTTGTTGGGCAACACAAGTTTAGTTCTGCAGAAGGTGGAACGCCACTCCTCCGGCAGGTACACCTGCAGAGCCACCAACACGGAGGGTCAGGGCGTCTCCAAACCGATCTTGCTACACGTTAAATGTGAGTAAATTCTTCCACTTGTATCTATGTTTCATACACTGGATGCGAAAAATACTTCAGCAGCTGTTCAGAGGTTAATAATATGCAATATTTTTGGAACACCTGCAGTCTCCCTCAAAGGTAGAGTGACCCGAAGAAGAGAAAACACTTTAAGCATCATTCATACAATCAATGTGTTGCCAGAAGTGCGCTAATAAGAATTCAAATGACCCACTGTATTTCAGCATCCTCAGAGTGCAGGGACTGTAGTTATTATCTCCAAAAATTTAAATTCGGCTGACCAACTTTCCCTGAATTATTTCAATAATGTCACAGACCGGGCCGCGGGGGCGTTGACCCCCGAAACTCTCTCCAGGTAAACTCCAGGTAATACTCACACTCCAACAGCATCTCAAATAACACAGTCCGCTTGTCATTACTTACTCCTTTCTAACTGGCTCATTCACTTCCGTGCACTGTCTATATCACATAAAATCTTTTAACTCTTCCACCAGCTTTTCCTAGGAACAGCCCCTACCCCTCTTTCCCTCCATTGCTCTATCCTCCCTAATTCTCCTCCCTTCCTCAGCCCCTTCAAATCTTTTTTGTTAACCCCACTCTTTCTACTTCCAAGCTCTTTATAAAATTCACATCACACATTGCCCACAAACACAACAACTCCGCTGTCTCCGGCCTCCTTCTCTATCACCCAGATTCTTCGTTTTTTACCCTTGGGTAGGATCCTTTGTCAATTTGCCTCACTGCACCTCCTAAATATCTGAACACATTACGTCCATATTCCCTCCATCCAGTCTAATATCCACTATTTAATTGCCAAGATTTCTTATTTTATGCCTGTTATTATTTTATATTTTTATTATTATTATTATTATTATTATTATTATTATTATTATTATTATTATTATTATTATTATTATTATTATTTTTATTATTATTATTATAAAGAATTCCATTGTTTTTTTTACACAGAGGCCAAGAAAAACTTTAATTATCATTCCATCAACATCTTGCCAGAGGAACGCCGACATAAATGATCAGATCTCCACCCTTCCTTCACTGTACTGCTTACCTCCAGGATTCAAGTCCAGCCAACCGATATTCCTGAATAACTTGATAAAAATTACCTTGCTCACACTCCAACATTTCGTCAAGTTATAAAGACCACTTGCTTCCACTCAGTTCTCTCTAACATGCTCTCACATGCCTGCTCAACGTCCAAGCTCCTTGCATGCAAAACTTCCTTTATTCCTTTCCTCCATCCTTTCCTAGGCCGACTCCTCTCCATTTTTACCTCCAAGTCATCCTATTTGCTCCAGCTTCTCTAAATTACAAAACCTTCTCAATAACCCCTCAGTCCTCTGGATGATATACTTAGCAACCCGCACATCCTTCTAATCTCCAACTCGCACCACACATTAACCTTAAAGACGACATCTCCACTGCCTCCAGCCTTTTACCTTGTTGCAACATTTATACCCCATACGTCACACCACATACGAGTGTTGGTACCACTGTATAGTCATTACTTTTCTTGTCTCCATGGATTACATTCTTTGTCTCTGTTAATGCCTCAATGCATCACCCACCTTTCTCCCATTGTTAATTCTATGGTTCACCTCGTTTTTCATAGACCCATTCTTTCACAAGGACCCCTACACGGCACACACATGTGTATGCGTGTGCTCAGTTCCCTTAAGCGTTAGCGGTGGTCCCTAAAAGGGAAAATATGGTGGAAAAGAAACATTGATGCCGTGAATGGCTAATCTGTCGACTGTGATCAACACATACGTGATCCTTGCATTCTTTAAGTGGAAATTAAACAACATATTGGAAGTGCCGAGGACCCAGACTAATCCTAGTGTTGTTGGGAAACAGGAAGTGTTGCCACTCGAGGGAAACGGTAAATTGTATTACCGTTGTATGAATTTGGTAAATCCTCGACTACCATCAAGGGAAACCGTAGTGAAGGGAGTAGACTAGCCAGGGAAAAAAATAGCTATTAACACTGAGAAATCAGCATGAAAAAAACTTAAATGGAAGTGAAAGGTGAAATTAGCGTAGGTCTAGCTGCTGTGTGAGAGATAAAACAACTATCCCGTATAGTGAAGTGTAAAGAAAAGTGTATCTTGAATAAGTATAGTGTATATCCTTTGTGATAACCAGTGTAGAGCAGTGATAATATACCAGTGATAATAGAAACCAAAAATAGTGAAGTGTAGCAGTGTGGAACAATCTATACGTCCTGGCGTTGACATGTATTTCAGTGTACACACAAAGGTTTGAGTTACCACTTATAATGAAATGACTAGGGTACTGATATATAGTGGAAAGATCTCGTGAATCTAAATTGTCAGTGGAATGACTCAATTATAGTGATTAAACATAATGGAAGTGGTTTTAAACTAAGATGTGGCATCGCAAGCGAGAAGTGCCATGTACCCTGGGGTAATGTGTTACAGCCATACGTCTGACAGCGCTACCAGGCAACCCCACATGCCCACCATATACCTCCGTAATAACACCATATACCCCACACCACAATAACCCAGTCTTAGTACGAAAACATGCAATTGACTCGTGTATATATGGAGCTCGGTAAATGTACCCAATTTGAAAAAAAGTCGGTGTGATCTTCTTTACTATAAATGTTTTTGATTAATAGTAAGTCTCTGTATTAAATACATCCCACATTCCAATGTATTGACCCTCTACACCTGAGTGCAGAGCAGAAAGGTAAAGTGGAAATCAGGTTCTCTTGGTACCCAGTTGCAAATAGAATACAGGCAGGATGGCAGCACAGTATACCTGAGGGACATATGAAAAGGCTCTTGGGAAAAAATCCTGAATCGAATGCAACTTTCGTTTCTCCAAACCTCATGTCTCCTGTGCAAGAATAAACACTCCGTTCAAAAGAGAAATCCATCGAGAAAGGTGTTTCTGGATCTGCAATAAAGATGTGGAACTATGGACAGGTACCAGAAAAGTACTCAAGAGGTTAATAAATAATAAGCATGAAAACAAAGAGGAACTATTGGATAGTCTACCCAAAATATATAGAGCATGGTTAGATGAGAAAGGAGTAATGTTTAACATTCATAATGACTAGTCTACAACAGTTGACTCAAAAAGAGACACCCACTGGAAAAAAAACACTAGCTAGAGCTTGTCATGGCCAAGCTGGCGGGAGATACGTCTGTAAAAACTTGCATTGATGGTCATAGTGATGCCTATGCTAACCTTCCTATGTTGTATAAATATACCTAGTTGGACGAATCTTCTTGTAGCTAGCTGGCCCAGTGGCTAGCGCATCGGTCTGGAGTTTTATGAGTCTATGACCGCGGGTTCAACCCCGCCCGTGGTATGGTTTGGATAAATATTTCGCCAAAATTCCTGGTATCCTTTGCAGGGCGCTGCCAGTACCAGATGCAATGGGTCTCAAAGGCACATTTTGTTTGTGAGTCAGCCTTGCTGACCTAAGGTGGGTAGGGACGAGGTGCAAGAGTTTTTTTTGCTAACTAAGTTTTTGAGTGTATTGCGGGTCTGTCTTCCACATATGCTCGAGGATTGGAGCATATGTGTTGGCGTTGCTTAGTAACTGACCACCTCAAAAACTAGTTCGTCAAGTTGATAAATTACACACATGTGCGGCACCTGGGTATCTCTGTTGTGGAAACGTCTCGTCACACAGTGGCTTCATCAGTCCAATACAAAGAAGATTAGCGAAAAGCTTAAGAAGTGTGAGGTAATCAGTTCCACAGTCAGGGGTCAATGTAATTAGTCCATTAATCTTGAGAAGAATATAACATATGTGCCCCTTTTAGGGGCTCTGTTGGCCTGGTGGTTAACGCTCTCGCTTCACACGGCAAGGGCCTGGGTTCGATTCCCAGCCAGAGTAGAAACATTGGACGTGTTTCTTTCCACCTGTTGTCTATGTTCCCCATCAGTAAAATGGGTACTTGGGTGTTAGTCGACTGGTGTGGGTCGCATCCTGGGACACTGACCTAAGGAGGCCTGGTCACAGACCGGGCCGCGGGGGCGTTGACCCCCGGAACTCTCTCCAGGTAAACTCTCCAGGTAGACAGGTGAGGCGAAACAGTCGTAAGAGCTGTCACCATGGACAAATCGACTGGTGGAAGTAGGTCATGCCTGTATCAAGATCCAGATGTTGCTGTGTCTGACGGGAATGTAGATAAATGGTTCAGAAAACCGACAAGTTGATAAATTAGACACATGTGCAACACCTGGGTATCATTATTGTGGAAACATTTCGTCACACAGTGACTTCATCAGTCCAATACAAAGAATAATGGTGAAGAGCACCGGAGTCTTCAAGATTACGGTTATCTTCACCACTTCCAAGGCTGAGGGACTGAAAGCCTCATCATTTGTATATAGTTCTACAATCTTCGTATTATTTCCTTGTATTGTATTGATAATGTTTCTGTATAGCGAAAAATCTAAAAATAAAGATACCAGATGTTGCACATGAGAAGAAACTTACTGTGTCGGCTACCAGATGTTGCACATGAGGAGAAGCTTACTGTGTCGGCTTCCAGATGTTGCACATGAGGAGAAGCTTACTGTGTCGGCTACCAGATGTTGCACATGAGGAGAAGCTTACTGTGTCGGCTTCCAGATGTTGCACATGAGGAGAAGCTTACTGTGTCGGCTTCCAGATGTTGCACATGAGGAGAAGCTTACTGTGTCGGCTACCAGATGTTGCACATGAGGAGAAAGCTTCCCTGTGTCGGCTTCCAGATGTTGCACATGGGGAGAAGCTTACTGTGTCGGCTCCAGATGTTGCACAGAGGAGAAGCTTACTGTGTCGGCTTCCAGATGTTGCACATGAGGAGAAGCTTACTGTGTCGGCTTCCAGATGTTGCACATGAGAAGAAACTGTGTCGGCTTCCAGATGTTGCACATGAGGAGAAGCTTACTGTGTCGGCTTCCAGATGTTGCACATGAGAAGAAACTGTGTCGGCTTCCAGATGTTGCACATG